ATGTTCTTGCCTGTACTTTTTGCATGGAAAACTTGGTCTCTTGTTGCTAAAGAAAGTTGGCATTCATTTCTTGTCTAATCTAACAATGAGAATATAATGTAATTCAGTGGAGCTTACTTCTGAGTAAACAAAGAACTAACCAGATCTAATTTTAATCACAAGAACTTTACATGTTGATTAGATTTTTGTTTAAGAAAAATATCTTCAGTCCTAAATTGTCAAATGTTTTTCAGATCCTTTCAGCATATATATCTGAGGATTATGCATTTCCTGAAATCTGAGTTTTCTCTCTTATGCAATCAGCCTCAATAGTATAAAGTTGGAAACTTGTTATATTGTGTGATTCTATGATGGCAACAACCTTAGCAAAGCCCAGAAGAGAGAGAATTTCTTCTACTTCCAAGATTCAGAAGCTATTAAAGTAGTTCATTTCCTTGTAACCAACATTAAGCAGAGAATAGATGGTGTCCAGGAGAACAAGGAGGGTTGGTGGTTAATTTTGTAATATGAGAGCTCCAGCCTTCATCCTCCTAACACTGTCTCCACCCAAGACTGGGAAACTAATTTAGTCATTAATAAAGCCGAGCTTCCTGTTTCAGGTTTTGTAAGTACAACTCAGGTCTATCCCAGCAGCAAAATGATATCTCCCTTTTGTATGAAGACAATACAATGACCCACTGTTTCACAAACTAAAACATTTTCTGCTTCTATTTCTTCCTTGCAGTCAGTAGGAATTGCATTAATTAGTAGGCCTTTGTCATTTCCTTTTATATTTGGATGAAGAGAGGAATCAACAAATCAGTTGGACAAGCACAGAATCAGAAAAGTTAATCAATCAGCAGATCTTGAGGCTACTATTTATTAATTTGGAGCACTTATATTGCAACTACTAGCAGATTCTTGAGATAACTTAAAATGAAGAAAAACAAAACCTTATGCAGGTCTTCAGATATTCTTCTGAATTTCTGGATAATAAAGGAAATGCCTGTTTCATTCACCGGACATTAATCTTACATAAGGCATAAACCTAAAATACCACTATTATTTTTCTTTTTTTCTTTTGAGCCCAATAGTACATGGAAAAGGTAGAGAGGGAGCAACCTCTTCCAGCCCTCAGAAATTTTAATTATTACCAACCATTTTCTCACCTTATTCATACAGCAGAGACAATCCTATCCAATGATTCACCTTGAATTCTTACTAGGACAATAAGAACTGATTGAACTGAGAACTAATATGCAGTCTCTTGTAGCTGTGACATATAAAAGTATATAGTCACTAATGCTAAAAAGTCTATAAAATACACTACTTCTCCAGCAGCTTGTGGTTTTTTGCTGTTCATGAAGGAAATCTTCCTCCTGTCGCCCACTCATTCACCCACACAGAATTTTATTAATTTTCTTGAAAACTTTTTGTCTGATGACCAGAGAAATAAAAATACTGTTTTTTTCACATGCAATTTTGACATTCCTCCTGTCTCAAAACACCATATGTATTGCTGACCTATCAGAATACAAATCTATTACAGAAAGCAATCTCAGTTAATGTATTAATAGGGAACTATTTCCTGTTCCCTTTTGCAGGTTCCAGCAACTTTAGAACTAGAAACACTTAGCAAAATACCTTAAACATTTATCTTAGTAATCTTACCCAATATGTTGATATTTCTGTCATTTATAAAACTGCCTGAGTCTTCTTTTAACTTATTTATATAGTGTTGGTCATCCCTGTCCTAGTGTCAAGCAGAATCAACTGCAAAATGTACTGTGTGAAAAAAGGTGTTAATTTGAATCAGTAAAGCATTATTTGTAATGAAAAGGATTAAAGAGTACCCTCCCCCATTTTCATGATGTCTATACAATACTTATATATTTAATTACTGTAGGTATTAATTATTCCTTCTAAGTTACAATTGTTATCAATAGTTTTGCTTCCTACTTATATGAAAGACCCAACCCCACTTCTCTTTCAGTTCTATAATATTAAGATGAGTTTACAGTGTTGAATACGATATTCAGCTATAATATGCTTCAGTAAATGTTTTCACTATACACATTTCCACACCCATATTCTCAATTAATGTCAATTAATGTTAAAAACAGTAAGCCAAGACTTAAGTATCAGACCATTCAAATATCACTACAGATACTAGTTAAAGTTGAAAACTGAAACTTTACTGACTTGGTGAATGAAATTATATACTAACCACACTTTCACTGACTTCTTCTAAAGAGAATATGTAAATTACCACAATTCAGGAAAATAATTAATGAATAAGGGCAGATAAAGTGGTGACTGGTAATCTGAATTAATCATGAATAAATGAAATTGATAACTTGGAAGGAATTATGTTTCTATAGAAAGATAAGTCTCTATACTGGAGGGAGGTTAGAGACTATTGTTTTAAAGCTGCAATCCTAAATGGTGTGTGAAAATAAATAGTGTGATAGAGGTAGCAACAAGGAGGGCAGCTTTCTAAACTACAGGATGCAAAATCTTCCCCCAAAGTTGTCAAAAGTGTTTCTAACAGACCTAGGTTTATAATAACTCAATGAAGAATTTCGCAGTCCCTCAATATTTTAATTCTGAAGTAGATGCCTCCACAGGAAAAGTTCTAGAGATATACGTCTTACTGGAGCAAAAAGGAGCACAAGAACTGAAAATTCTTTACACAACTCTAGTAAAGAAGTTGTGTAAAGGAAATATTGTAATAAAAATGATTTTTTAAAAAAAAGAAAATTCTTAAGAAATATCTTTCTCACTATATAGCTTACATTTTAAAAATTAAATAATTATTCCATACTAATTCCGCATTCTTCTAACTTTTCCTATCTTCTCATTGGACCACATATTAAAATGAGTAAGTTTTTATTGGTTCAGTTTTATTAAAGGAAAAATGGAATAATGATTAGACTTCCACACTCTACTTTTTTGGGGGGGGGGATGGTGAAGTACTTAGTATTTCTAGGCTTATAATTCCAAATATTAATTTTTCTGAGTAAACAATGTAAAGGGTTCAAATATACAAAACATATTCTTCTAACACTGCAGAAAATGACCTGGACTGTCAAACTCCACAAAGCGACTTTCTACAGAAATACTAGTATTTGAGTACATGGTTTCAGCACTGCAATCCTGCACATGTTTGCTTCCAAATCCCACATCTTAATAGGATTTATTATTCATGCATTCTATTATCCCATCATTTTCAACAGAATTAGGTTTGGGTTCTGGCGTCACAATATAATGAGCACTGCTGGCTCTAATATGTAACTACAAGTGCCTGATAAAAAACTCTTTGGAACAGATCTTGATATCTGTCCAAGCACTGATTCAGTTTCCAACATCACTCCAGTTTATGTAGCACATTTAGTGTAATCTAAGTACAGACTAATTTTTAGAGACACAATGAGAAAATTGAAGAATTTTAACAGTCTAATTTTCTCACTGCAAAATCCAAATTGCCACATGTTATTTTCATAGACCTTCCTTTCATTCAAAAAGTAATCCTAGGATTACTTACAAGGCAAAATTGTATGGTATGGCAATAAAGTTGGTAGATAGAGCAAACTGGAGTTAAAGCAAGAAAAGGACATGAACATGATGACAGCACAGCAGGGAATCATTGTTTAATGTTATTTGGGACACTTACTGTCCCATCTCCACAAGCCTGAACTTAAATGGTAACTGTCTATTCTCATCACCATTCGTGGAACTATAAACCAAATAGCCCTCATCCCATCTCCAGTCAAAAAATAACCCTAAACTAATCTCCCCCCCCCAAATGCGCTTTTTAATCTCCCCCAATCGCCATTGCAAAATGTTGTGAGAAACTGCAAAGTGGAGGCTTCAACTTCAGACCCGCTTGTTTAAAAAGAGTAAATCTTAACGAATCCCGGTTTGAGTTTTCGAGAGAAAAAACAAAAACAAAGCGGGCGCGGAGTGCCACCGCTCCGGTCTTTTCGGGTGGGCATCAATCTTAGCTTTACCCCCAACTTCCAACCCTTTGGGTGAAAACTTCCCAAGCCCCGCTTTCTCTTGCGCGTCTCCCCCTTTTCCACTAATGAGGGTTTTAACACCGAAAGCTCCCCGCTGAAGGGAGGCGAAAAGGGGGAAGGAGGCCAACCTCCCCACCCTCTTTATTTCGGTGCCCCTTCCTAAAACAGGGACGAAGCATCCCCGCCCCAACCCCCTCAGCTCTCGAATCCCCCCCCCCACCGGTTTCCAGGCCAACCTGCCGGCCGGGCCTTCCTGGAGAAAAGCCAAGCGGGCTCCACCTAAAGTTTTCCTTCCGCTCGGCTCCCTTCGCACCCCTTCAGCCGCCGGCTGCGAAGGGTACGGGCAGGAAGGAGGACAAAGCCCCCGTAGGGAAACCCGGGGAATTTCGGACGGGCCTACTTGGGAGGTGAAGCCGGACCGTCCAGGCCGGCGGAGAGAGCCGCGGGAGGAGGAGGAGGGGGGGGGGACGGTCTCCACCGCGTTATGGGGCTCCGCGTGAGGCCGGGAACGAAACGTGCCCCTTCTTTTAGAGGGGGTGGGGGAGGTCGAGGCTAGCCAGGCGGCCTAGAGCCCCAGCAGCAACGGTGGTGCCGAGCTCCGGCCGGCCGGCCTGCCTGCTCCCCGCGCCGCATCCCATCTTCTCGGCGTGGCGAGGCAGAAGGAAAAGGGGTGCCGGCCCTTCTCAAGGGAAGGCAGAGAGAGAGGAGGGCGAAAGGAGGGAGCAAGCAAGCGGTGGCCTCTTCCAGAGGGAAAATGGGCGCCGGGAGCAGCTGTTGTAACCGGGATAGGGCTCCCTTGGCCTCCGGCAGAAGACCGGCCGGTCCGGGGGACTGTTTCGAGGTGAGGGAAAAAAGTTTAAAGACCCGGAATAATGGGGGAGGGTCCCTGCGTTTGGAGGAGGGGGACAAGACCGGGCGGGCTCCGCGCTGCGAGCGGCGGGGACGCGGAGTTAGGGGACCTTTCGGAACGGGGGAGGGGGGGGGGCCGCCCGGAGGTCTCACCTGTGCAAAAGTAGGGCGGGGGGGGAGGAGGAGGAGGAGGGAAGATCTCGCTCAACGGAGGGGCTCTGCTCCCCTCGCCCTCCGAGCACCACTAGCAGCAGCCATTCATTGTCAGCCTAGGCAAGCTCAGCGGAGAGCAGCGCACTCGATCGAGCCGGGGGAGCGCAGCGCGCCGCCAAGCCGGGCCTCCAGCGCTCTGCTCCCGAAGGCCTGGCTAGTGGAGCTCCGAACCAGCTGATGACTGGCTGGTTTTTATCCCCGCTCCGGCCGTCGGCACCTACTTTTCTCTCGAACCCGAAGGGATGTTTGCTCTTGAACTCGCCGCCCAGCCCAGCCCAGCCCGATTTCCTTATATCAGACTTGGAAACAAGTTTCCATGCCGGAGGGAGGGGAGATAGGAGAGCAAGGGAAAAAAAAAAGTCTCATCTGGAGGATCTGCGATGATGGAATATCGCAACATTTAAGGAAAAGGCTGTGTAAATGACGTCTTAAGTTTTTCCTAATTTGTTCCTATTGCTATTTAGATTTACAGTGTTGAATCCTTCCTCCCAAATAAAGGAACAAAAGGTTTTCCTCCAGAACTAATTCTCGACTAAAGACGGTACAGTAGCCTGACGATACAGAAGTTTCCTATCCAAAAAAATCCAAGGCTAAATCACAGAGTTTCTCTTGAGTAAAATTAAACAACTGACTTTTACAAATCTGTAACCTGGTACTGAAGGTTACAGAATTGGGCAATAAATATTCAGAGTGCTTAGCAACCTCAAAATTTGGATGTACGGTCTTTGAACTCCAGGCCCGGGTATCTACAACTGCCAAATTTAGTTAGAAACCATGGTAGGTTAATATGCAGAATCTATTTGATCGGAAATAGAATTTTCTGATTTCAAGGGAGCATATTACCAAGCAAGAAGATAAAGACAACCCTGATGTGGCCCTCAGTGAAATCGAGTTTGACACCCCTGCATTAGACTATTTGAGACAAGTGTTTGTAGAATGAGAGAAGAAATATTAATCATTTCTTTAGCTGAAGTTGCAATTTAGTCTTCCCATAATATCAGTGAAAAAGTTAACCACATATCTAAATTGTTAATTCTTTTGCGTTCTGATGCTCTATAGGTCAATTTACAACCATTTGTTTAGTGACTGAAGTTACAATGGCACTGAAAAATGACTTCTTTTTCACATTTACTGCAGTGGTCGTGTGATCAAAATTCAGGTGCTTGGCAACTGGTATGTATTTATGAACATTGCAGGTCTTATGATCACTTTTTGTGACCTGACATGCAAAGTCAATGGGGAAGCCAGATTTACTTAGCAACCATGTTATTAACGCCAACTTTAGTGATTCAGTGATTCACTTAACAACTGTAGCAAGAAAGGTAAAAAATGGGGCAAAACTCACTTAACAACTGTCTTGCCTAGCAATAAAAATTTTGGCCTCAGCTGTAGTAAGATGAAGACGATCTGTAACTGGGCTGTAATTTTGCTTCAGTAATAAAAACCTACATATATAAGAGTCTGAATGAGAAAAATAGCTAATAAAATATTTCAGTTTTAGATGTATGTAAAAAGGGCCTTTTGCAGATTGTGACTGCAGTTTGTTCTGTTCTGAACTCTGAAAATTAAAGATTGGTGATTATCATCAAATTTGCATTTTGCAATTCTAATCTCAACCACATTTGAAATGAAATTGAGAATTCCATTTGAAAATGAGATTTCATGAGATTAGACTCATCTATTGTTATACCCTTCTGTCTTGAATTAACTAAATATGGATTTTGGGGTCAAAAATTTATCTTTGCTAATGTTAGAGCATTGTGAATGTTTATTAAATTATATTAGGAGTAACATTATTTAGGTTCAAAAGGAAGCAAACCTAAAATATTAGGGTTTTCCAACCTATATATTTAAAATGATGTACACAACACTTTAGTTTTTAATTTCAATTTTTAAATTTTAGCTATCCTAGGCTTGTAGCCAAAAAATGGAGAAGGGCAATGATAACTTCAAGGGCCATGTGTTTAGTATATTAAAAACTCAGCCTGAATGATGTCATTAAAATTGCCAAAACAGAATGCTTCTTCATCTGATTCTGTGCTTTAAAGGGCAGCTTAAACTTCAGAACTTTCATAACATGCAGCTGAACATAATCTTCTGTTAACCAAGTAGCAACTAAAACAATGCCTTGACCTTAGCTTGAAATCCAAAATGTGGTCATTACATTCCTAATGCCTGGAGCTCTTTAGAAAATGGAGACAGTAAACATACAATAAATGAATGAGTGCAACATAATTGTTTAGGTTTCAATAAGTTTAATAAAAGAGGAATTCTACCAGGTACAGCTTTTTTCACCTCTTTGAAAAATTGCATGCTACCATATTCTCTTTTTCAGACATGCAGGAATTTCTGCTGCCGTTCAGCCTAATTTAATCCATTTAATATGTTTGTACACTTTGATACCATTTAAAATTAATAATAAATGACTTGATTATCCACACCTATCTAAATGTCATTTATTTTGCTGTAAGACCAGAATTATTTGTGATCCGGTAAGTGAATACATGCTTATTTGAAATACTGTTCACCATAAGGCAGTAATAATTTTAGATCTCCTAAAGGCAGTTACTTAATTTATTCACCATTATGTTAAATCATAATGTGCTCTGTCTGGTTTTGGCTTAATATATGTGTACCAAGAACAGTCTGTAGTGACCTAGACATGACTCTGAGAAAATGTAGATACAGACACAATTTGGCCTTGCTGAATTGCTCTCTTTACTAAGGCTGATGAAAGTTGAGGGACATGAATCATCAACTTCTGTATTAAATACTACATTCTATTGGTGTAGAGTCACAAACTGGTGATTTGTGCACCACTGTATTCATATAAGAAAAGATCTATTCCATTATTTTATTTCAATGTGAGGCTAAAAGATTAAAAGGATGGCAATTATCAAAAAATTCAGGCTTTATAAAATGTTGCTTTTTAAAAATATGTTATTTTATAAAAGTGGGTACTTCTCCTTTTTAGTTTCATGGTAAAACACATACCACCCCTAAGCCATGTTTTGCACCTATTAAGCAGACATTCTTTAAATGGCTGAATAACTTCTATTGATAGGTCAGAGAGAAATTCTTCCTTTATAAGGGTATGAAGAATAATTCTGTAATATAATCCATGTACTGTTTTCATCTTGGCATTTTAGCTGATAGACACTTTGTGGTATCTTTAAGAAATACATGATGTTATTTATCAAAAAGGTATCAAGCTTGAAATTAAGATTTTAAATTTTGTTAGGCTTTTGAGTCATGCTTTTAAGTCTGCTGGGACAAATTTGTTTTTGTCAGTATTAAAATATTGATCACTTTTTTCACTTTGGATTTATGTTTCACTTCTCAAATGTTGGAGTTGTGCAAAACCAAAACATAATTTCACTAGGTCCATTTCAAAATAATGTGCCTTGATCCTTTTAAAACAGTGATGAGAATAGTTTCTCTATTTTGAAAAATTAAGACATTTCAGCTTTATTAAAGTAACACTCTTGATGAAAGGAATACCAAACTTGCTAAAATTGCAAAAACATCCTTATTAATTTCTTTGTATCCTCTCTTCTGGTAATGAAAGATATTTCTATAACATATGCAATGTGGCATACATGGAATAACAAATAGAATCATGTCCATATTCATGCATACAGCTTCTTCTTATGTTCAGACGAATACATGAATATTTGGGGATGGGAAGAATGGAATGAGGCCAAGTATTGTATCTCTGCTCTTTTGCAAAGAAGTCTTAAATTAATTACATAGAGGTATATTCCCAAATAAATATACTTTAGGCAAAGTTCCCATTCATGGGATCTTTTTATGCACATTTCAGGGGATCAGAAGTCTAAACTATTCACCTGTAATTTTGTGCCACTGATTTCTATCAGAACATTGGCCTTCATTGCCTGAAGGACATTCCCTGAATTTTGTGGTGCTATTCTTGTTCACCTGCCTCCCACTTCACCTGTGTAGAGGATATGGCTGCAGGGTGTAAAAAATTCTGAATTTGTAATTGCTGAGAAAGATGTTTGTATGGTCTACATGCATTTGGGAAACCTGCAATTTTACAGTAATTAAGCCAGAGTTATGAAAGCTCATTTATGTTTACTGTGTTTGCAAGATATTCTTGCTTATGATTTAGTGAACATAATTTATGTAACAATTGTTCTGAGTTTATACCATGCACTGAGCTATCAACAAACCACACTGGGTTGCACAACATGCTAAACTATAATATTGTTGAATAGTTTATGCTTCAGAATGTTGTGTAAATACAGCCTAAAATGTTATCTTCTCTGTGTTCAAGAGAAAAACCTATCTTGAATATTGCCTGTTTTCTAGGAATAGAGAAATCAGATAAGTTTGTACAATACATTAAGCCATAAATCATGACATACAAAAAACAACATTTAGGCTCATACAATATGCTACCGAAATGGCAAGTGTTATTTTGTCTTAGTGTGATTCATAATCCAACCACTAAATCACAATAGTGGTCCATCTAGCTCAGTGATATTTGTGTTCACATGACATACTTACCTATAATCATGTTTTAATCATGTTTTATTCAGTTTTATGGATTTGTAAAACATGTTGAACCACAGACAAGTCATAACTTCATCAAATATTTTATGCTGAAAAGTATTTTTCTAGTTTATGGCATGATGCGTTGCACACAAACAGCCAATGACTGAGTTCTAAGGAGGAAACTTGGGGTTTTTTTCACACAAAGCATGTTCAGTTACCAATTTAGTATTGATTAGCTCCCGCAAATTTCATGTTAATAATATATAATAAGCAACTCTGAAAATATATGTTTAGTTTGAAAGATGCATTCAATACTTACACAGAACAGTAGAACACAATGTAAATCAGTATAGATAGGAAAAAAAGAATGGCATAGTGGTGAAATGGTCAAGACGCTTGCTGCCAACTTGGAAGGTTGAGAATTCAATCCTAGGTAACAGCAGATGTTTCTCTGCTAGGTTGCAAAGAAAAAATATTTGCTGCAAACTCCCAGTAGGCATCAGGAAGGGCATCTGGCCAGTAAATGCTCAGGTCCATCCAGGTGCCCCAACTATCCTGAATAGGGAC